TCAATAAATTCTAAGACTCTCGTTTTGCATCCGTGTTGGTTCATTTTTGGCATGAACCTTGTTTTCCTTGTTTGGGAGGTGGTACAAGGGTGGGAGACCACCTTTTCTCCTTGGAGACCACTTTTCCCCGCCAGCTGGTTTTCTTCTCGGGAAACTGGTTTTCTTGGTCTTTGGGCCACATTTTATGGTTTCCCACCCCACCATTGGCTTTCTTTCAGTGTGGATGTCACACCCCAAACTCGCCCCTAAAAGTTCGGGCATGACCCATACAGAAACGGACACTTAACCTGATATACATATCATATGGGGCCTGAACGGAAGCATTTAATATAATAAAATAACACAGAAAAGCATCCATTGAGCTAAACCTAACATGCCAGGATCACATTCGTGAGAGTCATTTATTTTTAGACATACCCATACACATACATGACCGCATAAACAAACATTGGTATAGAAAGGGATCATATACATACATTTTAACCTTGGGTAAATAATTAAAGTGCAAGCCAAAATCTTAACAAAACTTGACATAAATGCATAGACTTGGTCTGGGAGCCTGGGCATACTGAGGTTGACAACTGAAGGGTGAGCTTCAAGGGTTAAGATGGACTCCCAAAGTGATTACCTACAGAATATACCTAATATACAGTGAGCGAAGCTCAGTGAATAATAGTACATAAATGATTCAATGCTCAACATGAATTATAATACATATCAATGCATACATAAATAACGAGACATAAGGTTAATGGATTCTATATTAATTCTTGAACGGCCTAAGGCCCAGTCTTGAAACATATTGACTTGAAACATAATATCTTGGAACATAATGGCTTTAAGCCCTTGAACAAAGTGGCGATAGCCCTTGAACATATTATCATTAAACTTTTAAACATGTTGGCATATAGCCCTTGTACATATGGCGTGAAGCCCTTGAACATATGGCATGAAGCCCTTGAACATATGTGTATGAATTCAAGAGGTGTCTCACACGGACTCTAGAGGTGACTCACATCGTAGTACTTAGTTCCGTGTAGCACTTTGTTTCATATTATAATAACTTATCCAGAATGGCCATAGGCCTCATAACTTGCACATATGTATGAACTCAAGAGGTGGCTCGTATACGGATTCTAGAGGTGACTCGTATCGCAGCACTTAGTTCCGTACAGCACTTTGTTCCATACCGAAAATACAGAATGGCCTCTGGCCTCATAGATCATATAGAATGGCCATAGGCCCAGATTGGCTATAAGCCTCATTCATATATGTATGGACTCAAGAGGTGGCTCACATGGACTCTAGAGGTGGCTCACAATGTAGCACTTAGTTCCAAGTAGCACTTTGTTCCATACCAGTAATTAACAAGTTTTACAGACCAACCATACATATCATGTCATATCATAAACGGAAACAAATTCATACATATGCATTATGCTTAATTCATAAACAAAAATCAGAATTCAAACTTAATTATACTTGGCACTTCAATAGTGCTAACAAGTCAATATAAAGCATTCTTGTTTCTCGGTACTAAGAATTTGTAATATCTTTGAACTTATAATATACGTGAACTTGCAACAGACTTAAACTTATAACATACGTAAACTTGTAACAGACTTAAACTTGTAAACTTGTAACATACGTAAACTTGTATATACTTGAACTTGTAACATATATAACCTTGTACCACACTTGAACTTGTAACATGCGTATACTTGTAACATACTTGAACTGGTAACATACTTGAAAACATACTTGAACTTGTAACATACTTGAAAACATACTTGAAAACATAGTATTATTACCCCCAGGTAAGGGTCGTGTGCTACGGATGTCATGAATACCTTACATATATGGCCAACTGTTCATTACTTCAACACGTAACATATTAGAACATCGAACATTTCTTGTTATATCATGTCATTACAGTACACTTAGCAAAGATAGAACATGGTACATTATAATGTGGGTTACATGACAAGGTCATGGACATTTAATTCTGTCTTTGGGTTGAGCCATCCGTAAGTCAATCCGTTATTTATCATAATACTTAGCAGGTATTAACGTATAAAACAATTCGTGGTCTTAGCTAATTATTCGTTAAGAAATAGCGTAGTTCACTTGATCTATTAATAGCATATAGAAGCATACACCTTTGTTTGCTCGTTCATATATGTTACCATATTTGACTTGTACCTAGCAGAGTACTACTGGTAGCCGTTACGTCATTCACATGAGTTAACTTAAGTTTATATCTGGCAAAGCAGTCCATGTTTGGCACTACTTTTTCAAAAATCTGTTTCTCAAAATGATTTGCCAGATTTGGACTCTTTGGTTCAGATTAAGAACCGTGACACAAATCGAGTCCGAACTGTAGCGAGGTCCCACGCGGGCGCTGTTACACCTTTAGATTTTCTAACCAACATACTTGCAAGAAATAGAAGGTTAATAATAAGAATCATTAACGATCATTGAATGTACGACTACCGTACTACTACTCACAGTGCTACAACGGAGTGCTTGTCCCTCCTGAAGTGTGCCCTGTACACATATATAACTTAGTCATTAGTTCTTTTTTTATTTCCTTCATTATTCTTCACAAGCCCACCATTAAGCATCCATTTATACCACAATGTCCTCCATCTCAATATATATCTATAAATAGAAGATTACCATTCTTGCAAACACAGTATGGAATTTATAATCAATCACTTTGATTTCAAGATAGAAAAGAATTGTATGGACATCCTCCACATTTTTCCAAAAATCCTTGAATGTCTAGGGTTTTCACCAAAAACCAAACATTTCCTATCTACATAAAGAAACTCTATTAGATCATTCTCTTGATTTTAATAACTAAGCAAGCCCACAAGTATTTAGCAAAATAATTTGGGATGAAACCCATTTCGGAAAACTCCACATTTTAGGTCACAAAAATTGAAATCAACATAGTCAATACCATATCACATAATCACCACAATTCAACAAAAACAACATGATTCAACTCAACATCATTAAATATAATTCAACATAATTCAAACTAAATCGTTGAATCCCATTTCAACATTTCACAACCAAGTTCATGTGATCCCTATCCTTAATAAATTATTTCCCCAATTTTTCCTTTACATTAAAGCATGAATTACAACATTCATAACAAAGTTCATTCGCAAATTTTAAACATAATTTTCAAACATTTCCAAATTCCAATTAAACTTGTACATATATAATTCAATATCTCAATTTCATTACTCTACTCTCAATTTGGGCCAAATCATTGGTTATCATCATTAATCAACCTAGGGTTTCAAGAAAATATTGAAATTTCAAGACAAATTCAAACTTATTAACCCATTACTTTTTTATTCCCATTTCCCATTGATTAAACACCTAGGATTCATAATTCACCATTAAAACCCATCAATTTAACTCCCAAGATTCCATACCTCAAGAAGCAAGCAAGCTTGATGAGATTCCTCCAAAATTTCGAAATCCAATCGGTAGAAAATGTTGATCTTCTCTTGTTCTCCATCCTTGATGCAAGAACCATGGTGGATTGTTGATAAAAGTGGAGGAAATCAAGGTTTTGGGGGCTAGGGTTTCGGACATGGAGGAGTAGAGAAGAAGAGAGGAAAAGAAAATGTAAGAAATGGTCCAAAAATCACGTTTTTTGAGTTGCTGTCCCGCACAGTCCAGCACGTGCGCCGTTATCCCCGCACGTGCGGACCTGCTTCCAGCACAGATGTGAAAACTTCAAACGGGTATAACTTTCTCATACGGACTCCGTTTAAGGTCATTCTTGTGGTCAAATTGAAGCCCTGGAGATAAGCTTTCCAATGGTTCTAACCACATATCCAAATTCAAAGTGTGGAAAAAGAAAAAGGCAAAAGAGCGCCGGCTGATCGTAGACGAATTATTCGAATTAAAGTTTTTTGGTCCAATCTTACTTTACCATCATATTACCACCTCAAGCAACACCCCAAAATAAAATGAGGAGGTTCCAAACATACCAATAAAAATGTCAAAAATGAACCCACGTGTCTCCTTATTCAACAGATATGAATCCATAGTCATAAGGTTCACTTACTTAAACTTAATTCCACGTGACATTTCATAATAAGCATATAAATACGCATAATGAGGGACTGAAAATATATCGGGAGCACATGCTAGGGTTGGGTTATTACACACAGTGTCTTAGGCGCACCAATGCACATGCAATGCAAAGAGACACATAAATGAGATCAAAACAAGATATCACGAGTTCGAGTCAAGCTCTCCAAACTCCCCAGCAGAGTCGCCAGAAACTGTAGACGCGCCCGTGGGCCTCACTACAGTTCAGACTCGATTTGTGTCACGGTTCTTAATCTGAACCAAAGAGTCCAAATCCGGCAAATCGTTTTGAGAAACAGATTTTTGAAAAGAAGTGCCAAACATGGACTGCTTTGCCAGATACAGAGTCGCCACCTCACCTAAATATTTTTTATGGGGGAATTTAGGAAACCCTGACTCGGTGCCAAAGACCACGTGTCCGTCATCACCAAAGTTGCCTCGGCTCGGGAGCTAGGATACGATTGGGGAAGATCAGCTATGAGCACCCCCTTTCGCCCGATCCGAAGATCGGCCTCTACTAACCGTGATATTCGTTTTTGAAAACGTTATGTGTTCTTATCCCGATTATTAGCCTAGAATTACTATGATATGCGCACAGCACAAAAGTATAGACTAGATTGCCTAATTTGGGAATAAGCATTGCATATCCGTTTGTTTTGAAAAAATATTTTGGAATTTGCTACTCGCAAGTAGGCTAAAACACGGATTTCAATGAGCTATTCCAACTCAGACAATCCAACCTTCACCCACAGGCATTCAAGCAGTTATATCACATAAGCAGCTAGCCTCATGGCAATCATGCTATCATGGCAACACTCACACGCATGCAAGGATGCTAAAGCAAAAGAACTTACAGAGTACTCCAAGCCAAAACAGAAACTAGTTAGTAATCATATGCATGATCCTAGTTCATGTTAAGATGGCTAATGCAACACATGCAAAATGCAACTAAGATAGGCTCGGCTAATCTACAATGACATGTGAAATGCTACAACTAACACGTATTCAATTTGAAATTAAAATACAAATGCAGTTAGAGTGATGCGCCGAGCCCGATGCATGTAAGACAAATGTGTGGATGCACGCATGCATAGCATAAGGAAGGTATGCTAAATTAAACATGACCTATTACTAACCATCAAAGCAGGTAAGTAAAAGGGAGAAAGAAGTGGGGGTTGGAAGACATGCACACACTCACCCATACTTATTACAAATTCGCCCTCGCTCGGAGGGACCAAAAGAATAATACAATTCGAATAATGAATTAACTATCCTAGCTAATTAATTATTACAGACCAACTAAATTAATTAAACAAATTAATGAATTTAAGAAAGCAAGAAAAGGGCCTCGGGAAGAGGGCTCCATGCATGCGCGCTCGGGTCTTGCTCGGAAGTCCACTGCCATGCACAAGCTGCCTCTGTTTTCCCTGCTCTACCCCTCTGAAAACTGCCAAAGTCTCAGGATGTGCTCACTAGATGTTGGGGAATGCCACCAGCTGGAGGGAATCATCACCGGCTGTGATTTGGTGGTCTTCGGCCAAAAATGAATCCATCGGCCATAGATGGATTGCCGGTCGGCACTCTGTGCAGTCGATCGACAAAAAGTTCCTGCAGAATCTGTTTGATAGCAGCAGAGGACAGAGCTTTGCATGGCAATGCAATTCAAGCAATGTATGCACCAACCATATCCCTTATCATGTTTATGACTCAAAGGGACATGGTCCTTGGTTCCTGGACCACCAATCGCGCATTTTGATGCGTGATGGCCTAAGAAACCAAGTGTGCACTTTTGATTTCAAATGTCATGCAATGCATATAAACAAATCAAAGGCCAATTCCCATCACTAGGTCAAGGGACAAGGCATGCATGCTAGTGCAATACAACCTAGACATATGGGCTAGTATGCAACATGGCATAAAAGGGAGCATACAAACATGCAATGCAGATTAGGTACACAACCTAAGCAACAAGGCCAACAAGCATACCACAACTATGCGAACTACTAGAGCATGCGAGATGTGATTTAATCATGTAAGTGTACAAGACATGCAACACACTAGCAACTCGACCAAGGGAATGCCTGACTAATGCGAGTGATTCCAAGCATGCAGCACATGCAACCAAAGCATGCAAACATGGGGGAATGTAACAACATTTGAATGGCATGCAAGGGATGTACTTAAACATGACTTAGGCAGCCCTAACTAGGCCCAAAACAGTGGCCAAAGTGCCCAAATGAAGGATTAATGGCATGTAAACATGCATGTATACAAGGACCAACACTTAGGCATAAAGAGACAATTCTCAAGCACACTTAGGAGGATGCAAACATGGACATATGGCATGCACACGAGCTTTGAAAATCAGGTTAATGATGGTGCTAAACCAAGCAAACGAGACAAACAAAGCATGCAATTGGTCCAAATACTTGAGGCAAGGCAAGGAGACTTAAACCATGGCCAAGCCAACCAAGCCCCACAAGGCCAAGAAGACTTAAAACATGTTCAAGGCAGACCTAAACAATGCTAAGGGAACACCTAGATGGCATCCAAGTATCCTAAAAATGGAAGCATGCAAAAGAGACCAAACATGGAGCATTAGACACAAGCTTTTAAAGCATCAAAGAAGCATCAAGAGGCAAGCATGCAAGCATGTTATGAGGACTGAAATAGCATGGCAAGTGGTCCCAAACCACTGAAAATGATGCAAGAAATGCATACCACACAATCACACACTTGAGGCCGACAAGCCAAAATGCAAAGGGGCTATACAATGCATGCCAAAGTCGACCCAAACAACTAAGGACATACCTTAATCATGGCAAAATAAACATGAAAGCTTCACAAAACCAAGCCTAAAACATGCTAGAACAATGGTTTACAACCTAAGGCATGTTAGGGCAACAAAATGGCATTACAAGGCATGTATGCTAAACAAGCATGGTGTACCAAAACCAACTAAAAACAGAGGCATATTATGACATAATAAGAACAAAAATCAGCTAAGGCATGGTCAACATGAACCTAAACATGGTGCTCCGTCAAGAGGCCAAAAAATGGTCCTTTTCAAGGACAACAAGGAGAGGGGGTGGCCCTCTCCTTCCTAGGACCTCAAGGCACCATCCCCACCTCTGAAATCCCTCAAGATTTCAGTGGTGTGGAGGCCCAAACTCAATGGTCCCGGAGCTCACACAAAATGGCACAAAAAGGAGCCTTACAAGCCTCAAAAGGGGTTAAACAATCTCAAATCACAAAACACTCTAAACAAACTGTTTAGAGGGCCTAAAAATAGAACTTTTTTATGTTATATACTAAACACAAAAATAGTTGCAACGTAGCCAAAAATACAATGCAAGAAAGGAGTAAAAAGGAGCAAGCTTCTTACCCTTGAAGACCCTCTTCAACAATGGGGCTCCAGCAGCTTCTTTAGGTTGAAACCAGCTTCAAAACCTCCAAAACAACCCTCAAGAGGCCTCAGCTCCAAGGGATGGTGTAATGGTGGGTGCTTGTGAGCAAAAGTAAGACAAAACACACACACTAAGCTCAAGAGAGAGAGAGAGAGATATAAGATAGATATATAAATCCTAACCTAAAACCAGAGCTCTCTAACTATGTTTTCTAACCCTAAATCCAAGAGAGGAGACTCTCTCTTATAGGCAATTCCCACTTGTGAGGCTTCCAAAACAAGCCATTCAAGAGGGAAATCCCTCCATACACGTGTATGGAGGGGAACAGAGTGGGTGCCAGCTATCACAGCTAGCACAAAATATCTACCAAAAGTAGATGAACAGTGATCGGCCATTCAAAATTGCCATTTTGGCAAAACAAATGGCCGACCGAAAACAAAGAGTGCCGACCGGCAATATACATTGCCGATGGCATAAAATCACTGGCCGGCGGCCTCAGGCCATGGCGGGTGATGTGTGGGGATGCCTCAGAAGGCATTCCCTGCCCCTCCAAGGCAAAACACAAGTGTTTGGTGCAAAACCAGACACAACACGGTCGAGTCGAGAGATCCTGAGGCAAGGCGCGCAACCGAGACCTCCGGGAACTCAAGACAAACACAAACAAGGGTAATCACCAAGTGTTCCAATGGTGACATCCAAGTCTTGAGGAAGGACAAAAATGGGGTGTGTACACCGGCTGGCCACCAGTGTTTTCTGCTGATATTTTATGCCAGCTGTGCTAGCTGTTTGCACAGATGCTTGCATCTGTCCACATGTGGAGGCCTGGATCTCCTTGTATAGATTTCATGTTTTCTATATATAGGGACCTCCTCTCTCATGTTTTGGGGTTAGACAATTTTAGACGCAAAATTTTTCTCTTTTTCTACAATTCTCTCTCTCTACAATTTTTCTACACTTTTGCCTACAATTCCTACACTCTTGCATATGGACCCTTAACCAAATTCCCTAATCTCTGAGCTGAGGTGTTCTTGGGCTTGGTTTGAGCTCTAGAAGGTGGTATTTGCTTGGAATTGTTGCTTGGAATC